CCCCCAGCCCCAGTACACTATCCTCTTGGAAAAGTAAAAGAAAAATTATTTCATTGTTTTATAAACCCTTCCCCCAGGTCCACTCCACTATGCAGCCTTTGCTCTAGACTCCCGTCATATCAAAAATACCTAACATATATCCCTTTTAAACAGTTTTCTCCCTCATCTGTTTCAATGCAGTATCTATTATTGAACCCATCTTTCTCAGTCTCCCTCCAACACTGAGGTCAGTCCTGTTTTACAACAGTGGTACCATGCAGTATTTGTCCTTTTGTGACTGAGATACTTCACTCAGCACAATGTCCGCCAGGGTCACCCATTTTGAATAATATTGCATGAGTTCCTTGTTTTTCAATGTAGCATAGTATTCCATTGTGTAAATATACCACAACTTCTCTATCCATTCATTTGTTGATGGGCACTTGGTTTGTTTCCAACTCCTTGCTATTGTGAACAAAGCCTGAATAAACATGGGTGTGCATATATGTGCTTGGATGTCAGTTATGGTTTCTTTTGGGTATATTCCCAGTAGTGGAAGTGCTGGGTCAAATGGTATCTCTATTTGCAACTTTTTGAGAAAGTGCCATACCGCTTTCCACAGTGGTTGCACCATTTTACACTTCCACCAACAGTGAATAAGGGTTCCAGTTTCTCCCCAACCTCACCAGCATTTGTTGCTTGCCGTTCTGTTAAATTTTGCTATTCTGACTGGGGTGAGATGATATCTCATAGTTGTTTTAGGGCTTGTTATTTTCTCACTTACTTCTCCAAACATCACAAAAATCCTTAATACATGTGTTTTATAGGTTCCATTTTACCACAGTCTCCTTGACTGCTCTGAGGACAACTAGAGTCAAGTCAGAGAATGGTGTTCGACACATCTTCCAAACAAATGTTTCAGACAGCTGACCCTCCAGTGGGATTTCAGAGGCTGTACGTGGTAGGGAGGTGGGTGTGCTCATCTTTCTCCAATAGGACAGCCGACAGATTCAAACCACTTGCCTTTGGTTTGGTGGCACAACTTCATACTCACTAGTCCACCAGAGTTCTTTAAGAAGAATTAAGATCCATTTTCTAGAACATATTCCAAAATTGGAAAAAATATTTAAAGGAGATATTATTCCAAAAAGTCCAAAACATATGGTTACCATGGCCATTGGTCCAGGGTCCTGAGTCCTGACTAGTAGACCAGAAACTGTCCCAACAGAGCAATGAGTAAAAAGAACATATTTAATAGGGTGGCAGGCCTGGGTTTAGACCCAGTTCATCCATTCCTGCTTTCATGAATACAGACAAGATAGCTAACTTCTCTATTTCATTATTTGTAAAGTTAAAAAACAGTTGCCATACACAGTTGTGATAAAAATAGGCACTTATATTGGAAGCACATATCACAAGCTGGATTTGTAATAAGAAATGGTTACTTTTCTATTTTTCCCTTTTTCTTCCTTTACTGTATTTTAGGGAGCTTTGTTGGCATAGTGGTAAGAAGCTGTCCTGCCAACCCAAAGGCACATGGTTCAAAGCCACAAGCTACTACACGGGGAAAAAGATGAGCAAAGACCTCCTGTGCAAACCGGCTGGAGGGTCAGCTATGAGTCTGTTAAAACTTAATGGTACTGGAAGAGGGGACACAATGATTAAGTGTTTGTCTGCTAACCAAATTTCTGAGGTTCAAACTCACTAGATCTCCACCAGAAAAGATGTGACAATTTGTTTCCCTAAAGATGAAAACCAAGCCCACAGCCATGGAGTTGATTTCCAAGAACACCAATCCTCCATGGGGTTTTGGAGACTAAATCTTTACAGGAAGAGACAGCCTGTCTTTCTCTCATAAAACAGTTGGTGGATTCAAACTGCTAACCTTTCAGTTAGCAGCCCAACACATAATGCATTATACCACCAGGACTCCTTTAAATAAAGATCACAGCCAAGGAAACCTGAGGGGGCAGTTCTGCTCGGTCCTATCACACCTCTGTGAGTTAGAACAGACCCACAGAATAAGCGTTATGTTTTAATAGGTAATTCCTAGCATTCACCATTGACACAACAGTAAAATGAGGTATATACTGTGCAAAATAGTGGCATTTTCTAAAGATCAAGATCTCTAGTTTAAGGAAAGCCTGAGACTTGAGCTAATTTAATTTCCATAGGTCTCTGCTGTAGCAATTTCCAAGCTAAAGAGGAAAAATTTTTAAAGTCTTCTTTACATTCTCCCCCTCCCCGCTTACCACCACACCCCTGCTGGCAGCATAATTCTTCAGAGGAAGAAAAAATAAATCTATAGTTGCCTTGAAAAGCATTCATGCAAAAGAAAGCCCAAATTCATAAGTAATCTGACTTCTGCATCACTTTTCAAAACAGTATCCTATTACCAGCTAAAACAAACAGAGTGGTTTCAACCACAGGAACTGACAGGCAGTGCACAAGGGCAGATTGGAAAAGATTAAATATTTGTGCAAAGAGGGGGGGAGACGACAACGAAGAAGAAACCAGCCACCCTCCCCTCCACAAAGGGCTGCCTTAGTCTGGAATAATGCAAGGGGAAAGCAGGCAATAGAGGAGCAAGGAGTTGAGAAGAGAGTCTTATCTTTGGAGCTTAAAGAGTGATTTTTGGAAGGATGGCTTGGAGAAGGGGAGATAGAGGGCATGAAAGGAAGAAAATGCAGCTTGTGTCTGCACCCGGTCACTGAAGCCAGTTCTTGTCATCAGCTGAGGCTGCACTTTTGACCCAGGCAATGGAGTCTGGCCACCACGCGGGCTCCCGGGAAGACGGAAACTGGATGACGACAGCTTTGAAGTCCCTGGACTGGGAGAGCAGAGAGGAGAGAGCGAGGCACACTCAGAGCAGACACTGTCTCTCATCAGCAGCACCTCATTAATTTGAGGGAGCAGAAGAATGGGAATCAGTGCTCCAAAGGCCTAGGGGGCAGGGTTGTGGGGAAAAGGAAAGGCAGACTTGAAAAAATTGTTAAAAATTACGGTTTTCAGCTTGGCCGACAGTCTATCAAAGCTGGCTTCTGCCTTTGAGAGAATTTAGTGGTTGCCAGAACTTAGAAGTAAAAGGCAAGAAAGAAAATGCATATAACTAACTGTGAGTCCTGGGCAGCCAGAAAGGTGATGGCTGATAAAATGAGAATCTTTGAGGAACTGAGATTTTTTTTTTTCTCCAGTGCATTTTGGAGTACCTGGGGTTCCTACCAGGAAGACTAACAGGGTGAGTCACAGAAGGGGGTAAAAAACCCTGAAAACAAAACCAACACCTCCCCCCCCCCGCCCCCCGCCCAGGAAGTTCTTTGAAGACAGCTAAATTTACCCCAAGCTCAAGAAGAGGAGAAAGTGGAGAAGCTGAGAGGACAGACTTGGTCAGTTTAAGGACAAGTGACTGCCAAGGCCTGCAACTGACACCCTGTGTCACCCTAAGCATGGGGTCCTGATGTGGGCACTTTATTTTGTTGTTGTTGTGTGCCATTGAGTTGCTTGTTACTCTAAGTAAAAATGCTCTGAACTCTGCTCTATCTTGAGTCAACTTCATTGTCTCTGACTGACACACCTGCCCCCATTACCTCAGTCACTGAGTTTATCCATCTCAACTAGGGTCTTCCTCTACTGCACTGTCCCTCCACCCTCCCAAGCAGGATATCCCTCTCCAAGGACTGGTCCTTCCTTGCAACATGTCCAAAGTATGTCAGATGAAGCTTCAGAATCTATGCCTCCAAGGAGCAGCCTGATTTCACTCTCTCCAGGACAAACCTGTTTGTTCTTCTAGCAGTCCATGGTATAGTCAGTACTCTTCTCCAACACCACATCTCAAAGACATCAATTATTCTTCTATCATCCTTAGTCATTGTCCAGCTTTCTGATACATAGCAAGTAATTGTGAAAACCATGATCTGAATCAGGTGTAATCTAGACTGACATTGTTGCTCTTCAGTACTCTGGAAAGGTCCATGACAGCAGATTTCCCCAATGCAATCCATGTTTTGATTTCCTTGCTGCTGGTACCAAGAGTATTGATTATGGAGCCAAGCAAGCTGAAGCAGTTTACAGTCTTACTCTCTTCATTGTCTATCATGATGTGGCCAACCAGCTTAATGGTGAGAATCTTTAATATTTTTTTTTATGTTGAGCTTCAAGCCATAGAGAAGTAGTCCTTGTAGTCCTTGACCTTCTGCAGCAAATGTCTCAGGTCCTTCTCAGTTTCAGCAAGCAGGGTTATGTCATCTGCATATTGCAGGTTGTTGATGAGTCTTCCTCCAATTCCTGATGCTACACTCCTCCTAATAGAGCCCAGCCTCCAGTATGATCTGTTCTGCATGTAGATTGAAAAGGTATGGAGATAGGATGCATCCCAAGTCTTCACCTTTCCTGATTTTGAACCATGCAATATTTCCTTGCTCTGTTCTGACAATTGCCTCCTGTTCCAAATATAGGTTTCACATAAGCACAGTCAAATGTTCTTGGATTCCCATTCTTCTCAGCATTAGCCACAGTTTGTTGTGATCCACACAGTCAAATGCCTTTGTATAGTCAGTGAAACATAGATAGACATTTCTCTGGTACTCTCTGATGTCAGCCAAGGTCCATCTAAGACTGGCTATGACATCCCTAGTGTCACAGCCTCTTCTAATCCCAGCCTGCACACCTGGTAGTTCGTGTTGATGTGCTGTTCCAGTCTTTCATTTGTTTTGCTCCTTAGTTATTCTAATGTTCAGCCTGGGCTTCAAACCTTAAGCAAGAGGTTTAAAATAAGCCCATTTTGGGGTTGTTGTTGTTGCTGTTGTTGTTGTTATGTGCTGTCGAGTTGTTTGCGACTCATAGTGACCCTATGCACAACAGCCCTAAACCCTGCTCTATCCTACGTCAACCACACTGCCTCTGACACACC